TTAGCAGATTTTGTCCATCTTCCAGGTTTTTCTGATTTAACAATTTTCTGCACTTTCTCTCTGATCCAGCATTCCCTCTAGTAGATCTTATTCCTCCTCTACCCAGACTTGCCCACCTACACATGGTTATGCATTAAAGTTTACAACTGGTCTTCCTTGGTGTATCCAGCTATTCTTGGTACCTGGGTCTCAGGCCGTGTCTTTGTAATTAGTAGCCAGGTATCTGAGGCCACCATTGGGTGTCATGTCATTTTAGTGTTCACCCAGGTTCTGGTCCCTTCACTAATCAGAAGATTGACTGCCTTTTCCAGAGTAGTCATTGGTAGCTCCACTTATTCCTCTTTTTAAGCATCTTCCCTGTCCCTGGTGGTTGGGTCCATGTGCTGCTTATGATACCAGGAAGGTGTGACTCTTCTGTTCTGCCTGCTTCCTTGGTTAGAAACTATAAAGGATGCCTTCCAAAATCAGCTTATTATTTTTGTGTACCCAAGATCTGTAGACAGCTAGCCCGTGCCCATCTTATGGAGAGAGGGCATTCTAAGCCAGATATGATCCAGTCCCATGACTTGATCTGTACTCTGCAGGGCATGGCCTTTCTCCACAACAGCATTATTTCATCGCATGGGAGTCTCAAGTCCTCTAACTGTGTGGTGGATAGTCGTTTTGTGCTCAAAATCACAGACTATGGCCTGGCCAGCTTCCGATCAACTGCTGAACCTGATGACAGCCATGCACTCTATGCCAGTGAGGCCCACCCCCACAACCTACTTTTTATATTGCTCCTCCTTCCATCTAGGGAGGGTGGGAGAGGGAGGTGGAGTGACAGTAATATAGGGATGAGCCCAGGTGGGCTTGGGGGTACCCCATTCTGGGGGACCTGGCCAGCCCGTTTCCTCTTTTCAGAGAAGCTGTGGACTGCCCCAGAACTGCTCAATGGGAACCCCTTGCCAACAACAGGAATGCAGAAGGCTGACGTCTATAGCTTTGGGATCATCCTGCAAGAGATAGCACTTCGCAGTGGTCCTTTCTACTTGGAGGGCCTGGACCTTGGCCCCAAAGGTAAGAATCAATCCACTACCCACAGCTTCTTCCTGGGGGACTCTGTTCTTCATCCAAACCTTTGGTCATCCTCAGAGATTGTCCAGAAGGTACGAAATGGTCAGCGGCCATATTTCCGGCCAAGCATTGACCGGACCCAACTAAATGAAGAGCTAGTTTTGCTGATGGAGCGATGCTGGGCTCAGGACCCAGCTGAGCGGCCAGACTTTGGACAGATTAAGGGATTCATTCGACGCTTTAACAAGTGAGAGGGCATTATGGGGCAGGGGCTTCCCAGGGATAGAAGCCTTGTTAGTCCTAGTGCATGAAGTGGGGCAGGTGGGAACAGAGGGTGGGTTGGATAGGAAGTCCTGGGAGTCTTCAGAATCTTACAGCAAGTGCCATATCCTGGCCTCCCCCCAGGGAGGGTGGCACCAGCATACTGGACAACCTCCTGCTGCGCATGGAACAGTATGCCAATAACCTGGAGAAGCTGGTGGAGGAACGTACACAGGCCTATCTGGAGGAAAAACGCAAGGCTGAGGCTCTGCTCTACCAAATTCTACCCCAGTGAGACTTTGTCCTTCTTTCTGAATTTTCCTTTGGGATTCTTCTCTGTTGGGCTCTGCCTCATCAGGTGCCTGAGGACTTGCCTCCCAACCTTCAGAACCCTGCTGGCCATGGGAGCTCCCCCCGGCTATAGACTATTTGCTGTCATTCTGTCTCCACATCAGCTGTGCTGCCTTCTTACTGGCTTCCCATCCCTTCTTCTTAAGACACTGCTCTACCATGCCCTTGCTTCAGCAAGTGTATATAAAACAATCCCAACTTGAGACAGCTCCCATGCACAGGGGTACCCTCAAAACCCCCCGCCACTTGTGCACCTTACCTTGCATTAGACTGTAATGTCTTCCCAGCCACTTTCCTCCCTCCTACTTGCAAAGCCCAGCTTTCTTCTTACAGCTCATCTCTGCTGCAGCCACAAACCCCTTCCCTCTCTCTCCTTCTCCTACTCTCTTGGCTAAGTTTGCCTCACATAGCACCCTTGCTTCCTAGTTCAGTGGCAGAGCAGTTAAAACGGGGAGAGACTGTACAGGCTGAGGCCTTTGACAGTGTTACCATCTACTTCAGTGACATTGTTGGCTTCACAGCATTGTCAGCAGAGAGCACCCCCATGCAGGTGAGAGCCATGGGTGAGAGGTGTCGGGGTGAGGTGGGGTGGATAGGGACCTGGGGGAGCCTCATTGATAATAGGGAAGATGAGTTTGTTCTAGAGTTCCCACATCTTGTGATGGCTCATGGGTTAAGAATTCTTAGAGAGTTGGGCTCAAGTCTCAGGGCCTCTACTTTTCCATCCCTCTTAGGTAGTGACACTTCTTAATGACCTGTATACCTGCTTTGATGCCATAATTGACAACTTTGACGTCTACAAGGTGAGAGCTGGGGCTGCCCTTCAATAGAGACCCATCTGAAACCCAATCTCCCTGAACCCCAAATACCTTACCCACTTCATGATCAGTTTCCCCTCCAGGGTCCCCAGCATTCTTTTACTGGAGTGTACTTTGTAGACAGATGTAGCTCCAGCACCATAATTGTACATTCCAGTTGAATTTCTTATGAATCCTTTGGCTTCCCTAATAAGAACCATCATGAGATTTAGCTCCTATCCTCCTGGTGTATAAACAGGCTATCCAGCATTTCTCTCCAGTCTTCTTCAAACATGGAAGAAACATATAGGATGTGGGGACAGACTGATTTAGTTGGGTGAGGGAAAATATATTTTAAAAAGTAAAGCCTTTGGTTCATTGAGTTGGATTTATTGTCCTTGGGAGTAAAAATCATCTGGATTTGAATAATTGGCTTGTTGCTAACTGTGGCCTTAGGTAAGTAACAGATCTCCCTGGGACTCAGTTGTTTTATCTGTAAGATACAAATAATACATTGTATGGAAGGTGCCTAACATTGTTTGGCATGTGACAGATAATAAATACCCATTCCTGTCCCTTTCCTTTCAACTTACTCTACCATTTCTGTTGTTTCTGTGACAAAGAACTCCCAGAAACCCTTTACCCAGATTCAGTTGTTTATATTTCCCTCATTTGCTTTATTTAAAAAAATCGATTTTCTGAACCATTTGAAAGTAAGTTTCAGACATACAACTACTTTATCCCTAAATACTTCGTGTGTATTCCCTAAGAACTTCACTGTGTATTTCTTGAAAACAATGGCATTCATTCTCTTACATAGCTTTGGTACAATTACCAGAATCAAATACCTGCTTTCCTCCTCTGACAGTTTGGGCTCTCTGGTTCATTTCCTTGGGCCTGCTTTACCTCCTCACCCGCCTCTGTCCTCTTGAGTTTAGCCTGTTCTCTTGCTTCTCATTTACTGATGGCAGAGCCTATTTGTCCATGTCCTGCTGCAGACAGGGTGTTCATTCACTCAGCAAACGTTTACTGAGTGTTCACCAGGGGCTGGATGGAGAAAGAGGACTTAAAGATTCCCTTGACATCTCCTCTCTCCTAGACTCTCAGGACCAGGACACTTATTTTCTAGTCAATATTCTGGCCCCCAGGATATCAGGATGATTCATGATGGTGTCCAGCTTGTCTCCCTCTACTCTTCTCCATCCCCGTGGATACAAATAGAGGTGATGACTTTTTAATCCCCCTCTCAATCAGGTGGAGACGATTGGGGATGCTTACATGGTGGTATCTGGCCTCCCAGGCCGAAATGGTCAACGCCATGCACCAGAAATTGCTCGTATGGCCTTAGCATTACTAGATGCAGTTTCTTCCTTCCGCATCCGCCACCGACCCCATGACCAGCTGAGGCTACGCATAGGGGTACATACTGGTAAGGCTGACTCTCACTCCGGCCCTAGTCTCCACCTTTTCCAGGCTCTCCCAACCTGTTTCTCCTCATAGGGCCTGTCTGTGCTGGGGTCGTTGGCCTGAAGATGCCCCGTTATTGTCTTTTTGGAGACACAGTGAACACTGCTTCTCGAATGGAGTCTAATGGTCAAGGTAAGATGTTATAGCCCTCTGCAGCTCAACCCCACTGTTGACCTCAATTTATCTTGCCCTTTTCTTCTTTTCATAGTTCCTCCAATATCTTAATCTGAGAGACCACAGTTCCTTACTGTTGCATCCTTGGGTGTATTTTGGTTCTAGTAGATATGCATTGGGAGGTCTGGGAGCTTCCCAGGGATGGTTGGTTGGGTACAGTCCTATGCAGTATCACCAATTCTTTGACTGCCTTTTCTTTGATTCCTCTTTCCACTCTTCTCCCCATCCTACTCACCCCAGCGCTGAAGATCCATGTCTCCTCTACCACCAAGGATGCCCTAGATGAGCTAGGATGCTTCCAGCTAGAGCTTCGGGGGGATGTGGAAATGAAGGTGATGGCATGCCATGGGGATGGGCATGGAAAGGGAGGGTGAAAGTGATTATGGGAATCATGGGGAAAGAGAGGGAGATAAAGGGACTAACATTGAAGCATCTGAATCATGTCCACTCTCCCACTTCCAGGGAAAAGGAAAGATGCGAACATACTGGCTCTTAGGAGAGCGGAAAGGACCTCCTGGACTTCTGTAAACTCCCATTCTTCCCAAGTCAGACAATCTTCTGCTGCTGGTACCTGGGTGGGCAGTGGCCACCATGTCTCCACATGCCAGAAATGGACATTTTCATATGCAATGGAAAACAGGCACAAAAACCCTACTTTATATGAAACTTGTAGCCCTCTGCAGCTCAGCCCTGTACATATACCTCCCTTTCTGGCTTGGTCCCCTTCCTCCCTACTTTCTGTAAATATCTGTATTAAACCAGAATATTTTGGTCAAATATAAAACAACAATAAAAAAGTTCTGATGTCATAGTGTGGGATGGGGCAATCCCAAGGAAAGGTTATGGGGTATGCACACAGTGACTCACAGAATCACTAAATTATCAGTCTCGGGATCAGGGAGAATGCTTTATGTAAAGCCTCTTCAAATACAGTGAGAATTAACTTCCTCCCAACCTCTCTAGTGCAGACAGAAATAGATTCATATTCCATATTCCACGTCCCTCCTCACCCCTCAGACAGGAGTTGTTCTCCCCACTCCACCACCCAGCCTTCCTCCTTGACAGGCAAGGGAAGATATTTCTCCCAATTGGTGGGGGTAATTCTCAAGTTCATAGGGCAAAGGTTGCCCCAGAGACAAGGGCACTGGTGTTGAGAAGCTGCAGTTCTTCCGGAATGGTGTGTCCAATGTCCTGATGTTACTGACACCCTGGAGGAGTGCCAGGATGAGGACAGATCCTGCTGTCTCCAAGCCAGAACAAAGCAACTCTGCCCTACCTTTCCTGACCCACTCTGCCCCCAATCCCTAGTCACCCTCACACACCGGTAGCTGTGGTGCCCTCTGGATCCAGAAGGTCTCAGGCTGCTCCTGGCGGTAGTCGTGAGGCTGTGAGGGAGAGTACTGAATAACTCCTGGCCTTCACCCCTCTCTCTCAACCTCTGGGCCTGGTACTTGGCCATAGCCTGTCCGAGCCCAGCTATGCAAGTGGTGGGAGGTGGGGGGGTTCTCACCTTTGTTGGGGCAGGAGGCCCTGCTTTTGCCAGCTGCATTAGGTAGTCATGGTGTGTCACAGATTCAACCTCGAAGAGCTTCCTTGTGGGTTCCTGTTCTGCCTGTGCCTCTTTACTGTGTATCCCTAAGGGGTGTCAAGGCCATCCTCACTCAATTTTTCTCCCCCCTCTTCCCCTTTACCCAGTCTCTCACCAGATCTGATGGTGCAGGAGCATCTCCAGCATGGCTTCACGCTTCCCTGTGAGGGGGCAGTGGGTGGGATCTGGTTAAAAAGCAGGCCCAGAAGAAACTAACTTGAGAAAAGGAAGAAAAACCCTGGGGTTCTGCCCTTATATCCATTGGACAATCCATAGCTCCACCAGAAATTCCTTACTCTTTTTCTCTCTGACTAATGGACTCATTCTGGCGCACTCTCTCATGTTTCATACCTCGAAGTGGCCAAGAGATGTTTTCTGGGGGCTGGTATGACTCTTTCTGGGTGGTACTGGAGGGCATGGGTGACTTTAGTTGCATGGTCAGCAGTCCCCGGTGTCCGCGTTGGAAGAAAAAACTCTCAGAGCCATCCTGCATGCTTGGGACTTGATCCAGGTGGTTGGTGGCTCTCTGTGGATCACAAGTTGAATGACTATAATATCCTTTCTGGTACCCACCCTCATATAAACCACTGCCTCCCTTAAGAAACTGAGGGCAGCCTTCAAGAAAAGTGAGCAGGCCAAAACTTTAATACCTCTTCCTCCCAGTTGTAGAGGAGGCACTGGCCCCGTGGCAATGTTTCATAGAGATCCGTAGGCTTCCCTTTAACATCTGGGGGTTTCCATAGTCCTCGGGCACCTGGTTCTAAGACTTGCAAAAATTCCCAAGATGGTTGTTTCTGGGGCTTCCAGGGGCAGTGCTGACTCCAGGAGGTATCACTAGGGACCAGATCTGCCATCAGGTTTCTGACCGCTGGAGGAGTGCAGGGGCTGAGCTCAGAGTCAGGGCCAGTGCTTGGACTAGGTCCAGATGCAGGACCAGGATGAGAGCCAGAGTCAGGACCAGGACCAGAGCCAGGGACAGAGCCACAGCCAGGACCAGAGCCAGAGCCAGGGACAGAGCTACAGCCAGGACCAGAGCCAGAGCCAGAGCCAGAACCAGAGCCAGAGCCAGAGCCATGGCCAGCACCTGAGCTGGAGCCAAGAACAGGGTCAGAGCTAGAGCCTGGAACAAGGCCAGAATTAGAATTATAGTCAGTTGTAGTACAAGGGTCCTGAGCAATACAGGAAACATGGACGGGCTCAAAGCCAAGACTCCCATGGGCTATATTGTGGGTAAAGCTGGGTCCTGCACAGGGCTCCCCAAGAAGGCTAGGGTCAGAGGATGGCTCCATGAACTCAGAATAGGGCGCTGGGGTCTTTGTAGATAATGCAGCTTCTTTGGCGGTGGTGACGGCTGCTGCGGTTGCTGCTGCCAGGGCCAACTTAGGACTGTTATCTGAAGAAAGTAACGGTTCCAAAGTGGACCCCAGTCCTTCGGAGCTGGGCTGTATGTCTAAAGCTCTGAAAGAAAGCAAACATGACAAGGCTGTCAAAAGCGCAACAAAGGAAGTGCGGAGAACTTCCTTGTCTCCTTATGCCCGCAGCCAGAGCTGCGACTCTCACCGCGACTGCGATTCCTCCGTAGACTCGTTGGTCTCCATCTTCGGACTCCAGCTACCGGGTTGCCATAGAGACAGCAAACAACTCCTGGAGCCTGCGCAGAAGTAGAGCTGGGCGGACTTGGAGGTGGGGGTGGAGGCAAGTCCTCTGCGGGGCGGAAGTCTTCAGTCCGTTGCTGTCTAGGAGGTCCTCTTTCCGGTCCTGACAGCATTCCGCCTCAGCCGGGCTTTTAGGGTTCCGCTGGCCTAAGACCTCGCCCTCCATGCCACAGCAGAGTCTTTGCGGTTTTCTAAGGTGATGCTTTATGGAGATAATGTTAGAGACAGGCACAGGGCTGTGGCATTAGGTAACAGCCTACTTGGTGTTTGCAGGGGCAACAGTAGCTTCCCCTTAGTTTGCTTAGTTCATTCTCAAAAGTGAGTGGGGTCTTTAACAAATGTTACGGATGAAAATACACAAACCAGCTTGAGCAAAATGGTGAGACATGGAATAGTGAAAAGGCAGCCGCTTTTGTTTGGGTGTGATTACTTCTCCTCTAATAAAAGACCCTCATATTGACCACCCTCCTCCTAAGCCCCTTTAGAACGTGGTTTGACCTCTGAAGAAGGGCCAGGATTGAGCAAGTCTTAGATCTGGCTTTCAGTTTCTTCCTACTCATTTAGGCTCATTCCTACTGTTACTTTTCTAGAAGTTTGACCTAGGGTGGACCACTTGTCAAGAAGACTCACATATCTGCAGGCAACCTTTATGGACCTCCTCAGTGTCTTCTGCTCAGACCAGTCAAGGGGCATCATAGCCATGAATCAGTTTTCTTTCCCCTTGTGGCATTAAACTTTATATATTTAAGACAAGAAAGCATAATTAAGGGAGAATAGTTTTATTAGCATCACAAGGTCCCTTTTTCCCTTTCCTTCCAAGCATCCAGGGTCTGGGGTCCTTTGGTCAGTTGGCAGGTTCAACCTGGAGGCCACTGGAGCTGCCGGCCCCCAAGTACATGAATATGCAGGTGATACACAGATTGTGCACCCAGCTTCCCATCGTTGATCACTGAAATTGAGCTTGGGGTTAGGAGTCAGGATCATGGTAGAGGTCAAAGAATGAAGATCACACTGAGGAGTAGGAATGAGAATTCATAGGTGAGGAACCAAGGGCCAAAAGTCACTCACCAAGTCGGTATCCATCTCCCAGGCCCTCAGCCTTTGCTATCTTCTTGGCCACAATGAGTAGGTGTCCTAGAAGCTGTAGGGAGAGTGGAGGGACATAGGTGGCTTTATTCATAGGAAGCAAGACCTCTAGCTGGGTCCAGGGCTCCCCCCAGTCAAACCCTGGCCCTGTTCTTCCCACCTGCTGGTCTTCTTCTTCAGCCTGGCTAATCCGAGGAATGGGCTTCTTGGGAATGACCAGGAAATGCACAGGAGCCTGAGGGGCCACATCACGGAACACAAGACACTGGGAGCAGTGACAGGTCAGAGGCCACATTACTTCAACAGGCTGGATAGTATCTATAATATTCCTAAGGGGATGGGGCCTAAGGGCACCCCACCTGCTGATCCTCATAGAGAATGTCAGCTGGGAGGCTCCTGTCCAGGATCCGGGAGAAGATGGTTGGGGCTGCTCCCCCAGGAGTTGCCTGCTGGGCCTTGGTCACTTCATTCCCATCAGTCACACCTGCAGCTCCTCGGACCTGAAGGTGGATCAACCATATTCAAAGGAGAGAGTTGGCAACACCTCTCCCATGTACTCAGAGCTGGCAGAAGTTGGGCTCTGATAGTTGTTAACTTCATCCTAAGAACCTATTCATGGCTCCCAACCACGAGAAAAGTTCCTGAATTTCAGAGCACCAGCAGCAAAGTGTAGGGCCAGATGGTGCTGGGCCTGGTAAGATGACAAGCAATCTTACTACCCAGGATTCAGCAGTGCAATTGATTGCTGCTCACATGTCTATGACATATAGCACTATTCAGGGAAAGGATCCAGAATGAGAGACTGGGGATTTTGGTCTCAGTTCCTATCTTACCATACCGCTGAGTGACCTCAGATAAATCCCTTCTCAGCTTCTAATATAAAATAAAGGGTGGTTTGCATCATCTGTTACGGTGGCTTGAACCTCTTTCCACTCTCATCTTGTTAGTACATTTCCACCTATTTCTGTTACTTGTTTTCTGATCTTTAAGCCTTGTCACCTATTTTATTTAGGTTTTAATGCAGTTGCCCTGTTTGACACTAGTTAACCTCTCATCTGGGTGTCACATATGACTCTGTGCGTTTTAACTCTTGTCCCTTCAATGAGTGGAGGTAAGGGTTCAGCTAAGTGACCTCTGCTCCCCTAGCCCCAGGGGACTGCAGGTAGGGAAGTCCCAGTTTCCCAGGGGTTCAGAGAAGGATGAAGTCAATGCATCACGTTGGAGGAGAATGGGAGGGGATGAATTCTCTGCTTCTGGCAAGTGGAGAAGAGAGGTTATAACACTAGTGCTCATTAGGAGGCCAGAGACCTGAGCAGGGCAGAGCACTGGCTCCCAGAAGAAAAAGCTAATTTCCTGCAGGGGGCACCGGTCCAGCTGGGTTGCCGGCAGGGAGGCGAAAGAAGGCAGCAGCCGCTGCAGTGACCCTGTCCCGACCTCGGCGACCGGGCCTGCGCAGGACGAGGGTCATAGCCAGCTCGCTCTCTGGAGCCACCAGTCCGACCTCACCGCACAGCCCCTAAACTTGTGCCTCGGAGGGGCAGACTGCGGCCACAGGCGGGAGCTCTGCGCGTCTTCGGGAGTCTCAGGCACCGGATGGCGTTAAGAGCCCGCAGGACTCCCTACTCGCCCCCGCGCCGCTTCTCACCTGCGCCCCGCGTACTCTCGCGGCCGCCACGGCTCTGCGTGCCGCGTGCAACCCGGAGGCCAGCACCACGGCTGCGGCCATCTTCCCGGAGCCGCGGGAGCCTCTCACCCTGGTCAGCACTCCACTTTGCGGCCGGCCGGGGGCAGGCAGTCGGGGAGCTGGGAAGCTGGGTAGCGCCGACCGGCGAGCCCTGCCACCCCACTGGAGCGCATCCCTGGGCACAATTCACCCCATTGGTTCTGCAGCCACTTTGGAGGCGGGCTCTTTTCATCCCATTGGCTGCTTTTACCAACGCCCGGACAATTTGCCATTCCATTGGCTTCGTCTTCCAGTCCTTGTGAACGTTCTTTTCCCATTGGATCCCTAACTAGTTTCGCTGTTAGAGGAACTTCCACACCATTGGAAAGATTAAGAAGCCTGGAGGTGGGATTTTCTCCGAGTTGGATCTGATACAAAACACTGGGTTCTAGGTTGCGACTCCCGAGTGGGTGGGGCTTTTCGTTCTTGGCTTGTCCTCTTCAGGCCTGGTACCAATTGGTGCGCGGGGAGGAAGGGGGCGGGGCTCCGTCACCTGCTGCACAAAGAGCTATTTTAGACCCTGTCACCACTTTAGCAAGAGGAGGGCGGGGCTCTGGGCCATCCGGCGCTTATTGGCTCCAAAACCCACACGGGGTGGGCTAAGGTGAACTGGAAGCAGTTTGGCTTTTTTTTTTTTTTTTGAGACGGAGTTTCGCTCTTGTTACCCAGACTGGAGTGCAATGCCGCGATCTCGGCTCACCTCAACCTCCACCTCCAGGTTTCAAGCAATTCTCCTGCCTCAGCCTCCCGAGTAGCTGGGACTACAGGTGCGCGCCACCATGCCCAGCTAATTTTTGTATTTTTAGTAGAGACGGGGTTTCACCATGTTGACCAGGGTGGTCTCGATCTCTTGACCTCGTGATCCACCCGCTTCGGCCTCCCAAAGTGCTGGGATTATAGGCGTGAGCCACCGCGCCCGGCCAGGAGTTTGGCTTTTGTTGTTTTGTTTTTAACTGGCGGGGCTGATGCGCAGCATTTTTTCCATAAAGGCAGTTTCAGTCCCTTGAGCATTTCGCAGATTTTAATGTACTCATCTAAGGGAAATTATTTCTTAATTCTATGTTCTTGTTAACGCCTTCACTCCGTAGGTTAGAAATTCTGCAGTTTTTGCATTTCTTTTTTTCAGCAGCCAGACATAGGAGTGTCCTCTTTGCCGCACAACTATTATAATAAGCAAAGGAGTATGTATTCATTGTCCATTTCTAATCAGAAAAGGTGTGTGATACAGTTAACTCGGTGCCGGGCGTTTTCAATGAGTCAGATTTGCACTATTGGAATATATATATATATGTATTCTGGAATATGTATACTGGAATATATCTATATCTATATCTATCTAATAGATATATATATCTATTCCCGTCTCTACTAAAAAATATATATATATATGTGTGTGTGTGTGTGTGTGTATTTTTTTTTTTTTTTTTTTTTTTTTGAGACCGAGTCTTGCTCTGTTGTCAGGCTGGAGTGCAGTGGTGCGATCTCAGCTCACTGCAACTTCTGCCTCCCGGGTTAAAGCGATTCTCCTGCTTCAGCCTCCTGGGTAGTTGGGACTACAGGCGTGCTCCACCACACCCAGCTAATTTTTGTATTTTTTAGTAGAGACAGGTTTTCACCATGTTGGCCAGGATGGTCTTGATCTCTTGACCTCGTGGTCCACCTGCCAGGGCCTCCCAAAGTGCTGGGATTACAGGCTTGAGCCACCGCGCCTGGTCTGGAGTAATATATTTTTGACATAAGAAACATGGGGTCACAAAATGCTAATATTGACACTAGGAAAGTTTTAGTCTAACATCACAGAGGACTAGTTACCACTGTTTCTTTGTTGTTTCTTTTTTTAACACATGGCCTGATACATATAGGTGCTCAGTAATTGTTGAATGAATAATATTTGGTGTTTCCTGTCATTTTTTTCATAATATGTAATAATATGTATTGCATATGATATTCACCTATATGTAATCAATTTTTTACTTTTACATAGTCTATGTAAATATACTTTGCATTGGCTGCATATTATTTCCTTCAATGAGTTTATCATAGTAATTCTAACTCTATTGTTGACTATTAGTTGAATTAGTTTTAGGTGAATGGTTGTCATGGTGCATATAACCACTGTCAGGGAACTCTTTGCTTCTAGAGATAGTACAATCTCTTTTGTAAGCTATATTATTGTTAAAAAGTCCTTTCTCCTGGAAAGGGCAGACATTTGATTCCGTGATATTTCCCATGGATCCTAGGAGTCCAGATTGCATTTCTTCCCTTGGAGGGACAGATGGCGCCCCAGCTGTGAGGAAGTATAGAATGGCCTCTTTGGGCCCCAGAGGTTGCAGTTCTCTGTGGTGCCTCTGGGACACTGGGAGACCCTAGAGTTGCCCTGGAGAAGGGAAAAGGATAAGTGGATCTGGGATCTAGGAAGAGGAAGGAAGCCAGTCTGGAGGGTAGGTGGATACAAAGCACTTTGAAATTAGTTGTTTCTTTGGTTCTCATAGCAAGCAGGCAACACAGAGGTTATTCCTGTTTTACAGATCCAGAAACTCAGCCTAAAGAGGGACAGTGACTTGCCTGGGGTCACAGAGCCTGTTAGTGTTCGAATCTCCTACTCCCAGAAAAATCTATGGACTTCCTAGTCACTTCCCACATTCACTGATTTTGATCCCTGGCCCACAGTCTTCTCTACTACAAGCACTCATCATCACCTATAGTTGCCCTCATCTGAAAGATGTTATGCTCTGCAGCCTCTGAACAATGTCTCCTGTACTTCAACCCTTGCCTCTACATCAGCTACTGGACCTCATTACAGACTTCTCTTTCTTTGATTGCTCCCTTTTCCAATCTGTCATTTGCTTCCTGGCATCACTTTCTTTCCCTATTGGTACCGTATGCTCCTTTCTCATCCTCATACCTTCTTTTGCTTCATTTTCCTGATCATCCTCCCATCACCAACCCACTAAATATTTGGCTTCTCTGCTCCTCTAACTATGTTCTCACTTCCAACTGTGCCTGAATCCTAAACAACCCACTGATCAGATTTTTCTCCAGTTCCCCACATTAGCCTTCCCAAACCTTCCCTTTTCTTGTCTCCTTCCCTTTTCTTGTCTTCCTACCCACTCTTATCCCTCTCCCCCTGGACCAATGGCTGGTCTTATCTCCTACTTCACAGGGCATATAGAAGCCATCAAAGGGGAAGTTCTACAGGTTCCTGTTCCCTGAAACTCCAGGAAGGCTCCATCCTCTTCATTCCTCTTGGTGATAGGAAGTGGTGTTTCTCCTGTTCAGAGCAAATCCCTTCACCTCTGTCTTGACCTCATCCCCTTCCTTCATCTCTGGGATCCTGTCTCACCAGGCATCTCTCCTCTCTTCTGGGTCATTCAAGGTCCCATTGTCCACTGGCCTCTTTCCCTTTTCCTTCCCACAAAAGTGCTTCCTTGATTCCACAACTCCCTCTGGATATTGTCTGACTTTTCTTTTGCACTTTTCACCCAAACTTCTTTAAGAGACTCCTTGAAACTCACTGCTATTTGACTCCTGCCTCCACTGTGCCAGTGTGAAACTGCACTGTCTGAAGTTCCCAAAGATTTTCTAATTACAAAACCCAAAGGATGCTTTTCAGTCTTTATCTTATTGGTGCCCCAACTGTATCTAACATCACTTCCCACTCTATCCTTCTTGAGACTTTCTTCCTTCTTGGCTTTCTTGAAGCCACTTTCCTTCTGATATCAGAGCAGGCAGCTTGAATGTGGGTGTGATGGAGGCAGATGGCAGGATCCAGGTTCTCTACTGTGCCTAAGAAGGGTTCACTCTAAGTTATTAGGCAGTCTCTCCCTGGGCTGGGATCTGTCTGCCCCATATAGCACCAAGTCAGGTTCCAGTGACTCCTCTTTTATTGCTGATCTGGGCCAGACTCACAAAGGCCTGCGCCAGTTGCTGACAGTGTCTGTCCCTGGAGGAGGGAAGAGCAGAGGTGAAAGGACCCCCAGATATGGGGGTCAGATGGGGGGCTAGGCTGGAAGGTATGTGGGCCAGGGAGTCCCAGGGGACTAGGGTGGGAGCTGGGAAGGCCAGAGGGCCCCTGTATCTGCAGGACCTCAAAGTCAGAGTTGCTGAGGATGACTTCTTGGAGGACAGGCATCTCTGCAAAAGGTATATAGTCTGCTCCGGGGGTGAAAACCAGTACAGATGTGGGATGTGGGTGGGTGGGGAGGTGGGCTGAGGGAATGCGCTAGTCCTAGAGGGGATGGTTGAGGATGGGAGTCTTCCTGCCTGGCCTTCTAACTACAGACCCTGGAATGGCTCCCGTCCCAGGTTTCTGCCTCACCGTAAGGCCTCCCTCCTTGTTGCCGGGTCTTCTGAGTCTCAAAGAAAGTCTCATGTTTCTCCCAGCACTGGTTACAGGCGGCACAGAGGAAATTAGACTCAAAACAGCTGCAGCAACAGCCTGGGGCAAAAGTGAAGCCAAGAAGAGTTTAGGAAATGGCGGCATTCCCAGGAGCTGACCACATTCTCATCTCTTCCTCACTGACCGCATGCCCAAGGCTCTCATACCTGCTCCCCACCATTATCCCCAGGCTGCATCCTATTCCCACCTACCCCGCTCCCAATATGCCCTTTGCCCTAGAAGTTACCATGATGCCTGCAGGGATGGGGCCCCCTGGCTGCATGTTCTTCATGGCTATGTTTGCAGCGACATTGGGCCCTCCAGGCCTTGGGGTCAAAGGTGGCCCGTCTCATGAGCCAGAACTCACCCACCTCCTCTGGGCGTGATGGGATAAAGCAGAACATGAGGCAGCGGCACTGGCTCACCTTGCAGGGCACTGATATCTCTGTGGGAATGGGGATGGGTGGTTAGAGTTAGACCAGCATCTGATAGAACCTTGCCTTGTCATGCCAATCCCCTCCTCCATTCCCCCCGCCCCTCTCCCTATGCACTCACACGTGCTTTCTCTCATACTTCCCAAGACATGACAGAATACAGTTATCCCTCCACACCTGAGAGGGGCTGGTCAGTTCTCCCCTACCTGAGATGATCTGGTGCTCTTTCAACAAGTGTCCACAAAAGCATCTGGACTCACTCCCAATCCGGAAACAGTCCCATAGGTAATGGGGGCAGCGCCAGCCAATGTAGAGACCTAGGTGTGCAGGATTAATAAGGAAAAGTGAGAAGGAAAAAAATCTTAAGCTCTCCCGAACTGGTCTTACCTAACCCTTGATGGGGTGAGGGGTGGGGGAACTTACCTCTCCCCGCTCCCAGGTATCTTTACTTCCACCTGGAAGTCCTCGCCTCTACCCCTTAGACTTTCTTTTTCCTCAGGGTTTGCTTACTACCCCACTAGTGGCTTCAGTTCTCGTTCTACCCAGGATCTACTCCATCTCTATCAGCCTGCCAGAGATGACTCAAGAGAGTCTTCGGTTTCTGAGCAGGAAGATTATAGATGAAATTTTGTTTGAGGATGAACATGAATATCACTGAGTTCTCTGTAACCACGGGGATTCTCATCTCCTCTCCTCACTCCACTAAAGCCCTTTAGACACTTTGTTTACTTGAAGCGTCTAAGGTGAGGGAAACGGAAGTTGACTGGCCAGATATACAGACAATGAAGATTGGCTCCTAAGGAGCATGGTTACTGAAGGTCCTGAAGAGGAGGAGGAGGTTGGACAGCACTGGTGCTGGAAGGCAGGAGAAGGGCTTCCTCTCACATCTCCAGGTTGGTACCTTAATACTTCCCTCTGTGTTCCTAGTGCTATTGTACCAATGCTCTCTATGTACTTAAGAGGGGCTGCCAAAGGTTCTTCAAGGGTCAGGAGAAAGGGGTAGGTAGCAATCATGAGTGGTGAAGACCAAAAATTATACATTGTGAGGCTAAGCAAGGAAGTGTGGAAAGGAAAGTGAGGCTAAGAAGCGTCCCTGAGAGTAGGCACCAGCAAGAGGTCAGAGCCCTTGAGAGCTGGTGTTCAGCAGTGAGCTCTGTCTCCCTGGCTTCGTGACTAGTCTTGAGGTGAGGGTGGTGCTGTGAAACTGTGGGAGGTTAACCAGATGGCACCTACCATTCAGATTTTCTCATCCATGAGAACTGAGAGTACCCCAACTTCTAGCCAAGAATCCTGTATGAGGTCCCATGGAGTGGGACCTCCAGGTGTAGGATTCTTAGTTCCACTTAATGGCTCAGCTGAAATGTCACCTCCACCAAAAATGGTCTATTATAATGCACTGTATTGGGATAGGAGTAGCACAAGGAGCTGCACATGGTAAGAGGAGGGGCCCAGACAGACAGGAGAAGTTACAGTGCATTATAATAGACCATTCCCTGTGTTCCCATTAGTCCATGAGTTCTTCAAGGAAGTTGTCTTTTCACTCATCTCTCTCATCCTAGCACAGGACCTGACACAGAATAGTTGCTGAGAGACTATAGATTGCCTGATTAAACAAATGAGCTAATTCCTTCAAGAGGAAGAGAGAGCCAGTATTCAGGCATAATCCTGATGTTCCCCTAAGATGATTAAGGAGAGTGGCATCCTCTGGTCTTTGACTCTGGTCAGGGCCACAGTTCACAATTGTGTGCCTCAGATTAAGTTTTCCTATCTTACCCATAGTCTGTCAGGATCTAAAGCCTGTCCAGATGTGGCTTTTGGCTTTGCTGCTTCTGTCTTGATGCTGATTGCCTGTGATGCCAGGGCCCCCTTACACCAGGGAGGCTTTGTTGAGAGAGCAGGGTATAGGCAGTCACAATGGGGGTGGGCGGGAGCCAGGATTCCACTAGGGGAGTTCTGAATTCTGTCTGGAGTAGCAGGATGCATTTAAAAAGCAGGAGGTGAGGCCCATGGATCAAGGCCTGCTCTGAGGGCCCGGGGTGGGGGGTGGGGGAGGAGTCAAGTTCAAGCGCTAGGGTACTAATCAGAACCCAGCATTCAGATGAAGACTGGAGTTTGAACAGGGAGACTGGCAACTATACTTCAGATTCTATTACAAGTGTTAGTGCTCTTAAAGTGGGACAATTGGAAGGTGGCTGTGGATTCCAGTGGGACCCTCTACTCTCTGTACCGAATCCAGAATCCCTTCTTGTTGTGGGTGGACAAGGCCTGGCAGGGGGAGGAGACATTACCTAGGATACCATTTTGATTCTGTCTAACACAGTCCAGTTCCACAATCACAATCACATTTGCATGATGACATCTCTTTATGCGTAGTATGTCTCCATAAAACACCCAGCTGTCTTTACAGGAACAATGCCTCTAGCTTAGCCCTCTCTCCTGAGCTTCCGACCCATATAGCTAGATGTCTACTAGACTCTTGCACCAGCATGTTTCATAAGCATTTCAAATCTTATATCCAGTTATTCCCTCCAAACCTGGCTCTCATCCTTTGTCGTCTGTTCATCCAACACATGCTTACCAAGCATCTACCCTTTTTCAGACATTCAGTGAATGGCACCATCATCCTATCACTTACTTATGCCAAAAACTTAGGTGTCATTCCCGGCATTTTCCTCTCTCTTGTCCTATACATCCAGTGTTTCAATGGTCAGTTTTACTTTGTTAGCATGTCTTTCCTTTTTTTTTTTTTTTTAAGACAGAGTCTCACTCTGTTGCCCATGCTGGAATGCAGTGGTGCAATCTTGGCTCAGGGCAACCTCAATTCTCCTGCCTCAGCCTCCCAAGTAGCTGGGATTACAGGTGCCTGCCACTACACCCAGCTAATTTTTTGTATTTTTAGTAGAGAAGGGGTTTCACCATGTTAGCCAGGCTGGTCTTAAACTCTTGGCCTCAGGTGAACCAAGCACTAGTGTAGGAATCAGCATAGTCTAGGAATCAGTGTCGTGTAGGAATCAGGCTGCCTCGGCCTCCCAAAGTGATGGAATTACAGGTGAGCCACCACACTCAGTCTGTTAGCATTTCTTGAACCTTTCCACTTCTCTCCACCTACATCCATCTACTTCTTACCTGGATTATGACCAGTACCTCACAATGTATTCAGTTTCCTTTCCACACCTCCTCTCAGCCTCACAACTCCAGTCTTGTCGTTCTCTGGTCTATCTGATTGCCAGAGTGATCTTTCAGAAACACAAATCTGTTCATGTTATTGTCCTACTTAAAATCTTTTAGTGACTCTCAGTTGCCCTCGGGATATAATCCTAGCTTTTTAGCTTGGCACAGAAATGCCTGCACAATTCTGCCCTTCTGGAGCTGAGCTGGCTCTTCTCCCCAGCACTCTATGCATCAGGCATATTGCATTGCTATAGATTCCTGCCATGCCTAACCCTGTCCTGTCTCATCTTACACCACTCTTTACTTGGCCACCTCTTCTTGCTCATCTTACAGATATCAGCTGAGAAGTCATTCCTTCCAAGGCTTAGTATTCCTCAAGCACTCCAGATAAGATGTCCCGTTTTTTCTGCTCATGCAGCAGTCTCAGGTAACCTTGATTATAACAATTATTAGAGTGAATTATAATTATCCTTTTACTTATTGGTATCTCTCATTAGAGTACAAAGTATTTTGTCGTTGAACCCCCACCAACATTACCACTTCCACAGCTAGCTCAATGCCTGGCACACAGTTAGTGCTCAATAAATGTTTGTTGAATGAATAAAAGCAAAGGTTACCCTTGATATTTCTGTACATATCACATACACTGTTAAGGACTACCCAGGACTCAGCATTCCCACTACTAGGAGGGGACTTCAAATATAATTGCTCAGGGTTGAATGACACAAATTTCTTTATAAAACTTCCTGTTTAAACAGAAAGATGAAGACATTCAATTTGAAGAAAAAAAGAAATACAGTGGCCTTGAGGAGTGGGGAGTAGACAGGAGGTTCTGAGAAGGGGAATAAGATGACTGAACACATCCTGCATTTTTTTTTTTTTTTTGAGACATTCTGTCACCCAGGCTGGAATACACTGGCAGAATCATGGCTCACTGCAGCCTTGACCTCCTGGGCTCAATAATCCACCCACCTCAGCCTACTAAGTAGCTGGGGCTACAGGCGTCCACCACCATACCTGGATAATTTATTTTATTTTAGTTTTGTAGAGATAGGGTCTCACTATCTTGTCCTGGCTGGTCTCTAACTCCTGGGCAATGAAATGATCCTCCTATCTCAGCCTCCCAAAGTTTTGGGATTACGGATGTGAGCCACCTTGCCAGCCAGCTTTTACAAGCAAATAAGAGTAACTGAATATGTTAATATAAGCAAACAAAGCTATTTCAATGCCTGAATTGAGACTAGGAAACAAATGAGATCACTATGACTTTCTTGGCTCAGTGGTGGTGGTGCGGGTGTGGCGAGGCCGGAGTGCTGGAGGGTTCCTGTACGGGAAAGGGGAAAGTAAATTTCAGGGAGGAGGGATAAGCATTTAGAATTAGCTGGTTGTCTTTATATTTTAGGCCTTTCATTATAGCTGTACGTCATAAAGGGAAAGGAAGTATGAGGGACCAAAATAAATTCAGAATTCAGTCTAGAAATACCAGAATCCTTATACCATGTCAGTGTGGCCTTCTTACTGAAGGTAATCCGTATAGATATGGATTTCCATAACACAGGTAGACATGCTCACACACAGGATGGCATGTTTTTACAAGCTTATCTGTACATAGCATGCCACTAATAGGACTGCCAAGAGTACTAATTGTAGGTTGAGGCTTGGAAACAGCAGGGCCAGAGGACATGGCTCTCCCCGTTTATAAGGAAACTCAAAGCTTTTGGGTAGCCAGCATGGGCCTGGCATGCAGGGGTGACAGCCTTTTAATGGAGTTCCGCCAGGGGGTCTAAGGTCTTTGTCGTGTCAGAACAGCAAGTCTCCTAGGGACTGTCTAGGTTCCTGGGCCATCTCTGCTTTAGGGTCTGTAGGCTTTCTGGGCGCTATATCGGGTGGGCCCATGACCCTTCTATTTTCAATAATTTTAGTTTAGCTACCTGTCTCTACCTGGGCTTTATATGAATCTCCCCACTTGTCTGCATCCACCCTTGTATTCCTTGGCCCACTTGCCTGCACCCTTTCTAGGCAGGTGGTATTGCCCTTTCCAAAAGGGGCAGCTATTTGTTGAATGTTCAGGTTCCCAGATCGTTTTGGATTAGAGGATGGCCTGTCACAGGCCTCTGAAAGACCACATGGGCTCACCTGTCTGGATGGCATTCAGGGCTGCATCTTTCTCCCATTGGAAAAGATTGTTCACCTGAGCACCGAACTTCTCTTTGTGCATTGCCTTAGCCACTTCCACCAGCTCTGCCTGCTTAGCAGGGACCACTGGGTGGGCTGTGTAACCTAGGATGGGAGGGGCTGAGTAACCAGGAGGCCCTTAAACTAAGAGAAGGGACCATGACCAAGAGTAATCCAGTCTCCTCCTCCTGGGGTGAGTCAAGAACAGCAAACAGTAATGAGAATAGGACAGGGGAGAGGACAGGAGCAATTACGGCTAACTCCTTTCTTCTCCTTCTTCTTGTCCAGCTGGTGTCCAGACTGGGCTGTGTGAGCAGTGCTGCCACTGGCATCTACCCCCTTTTCAGTCTCTCCTGGTTCTTCCTTCTGCTTTTCAGATGCGTCCATTTGGACCTGGGCTGAAGGGCCTGAAAGGGAGTGCTCTGGAAGGCTCTCAGATTCAGAGAGATGGGTAGACCTCCTTGTCCATGGGACCTCATTGGAAGAAGACTCAGAGGAGAGGTCTTCCTTCAAAGTTTCAGAGGAAAGCAGAGAGACATATTCTACTGATTGGGGAGGAAGAGTTAGGTGTTTCTTTGGCACCACTGAGATGGGACTATCCAATGAAGCCTCATAGGTAGGGATCTCTGAAAGGGTCTCAAAGATGGAAGGCTCCTGATGGGTTTCAGAGGAATGGGCCACTAAAGGGGTCTGGGAAGGGGTTGGCACCAAAGAGGATTCAGAGATATGGGGCTCTAAGGGGGTCTTAGAGGTGGAAGGCTCCAAGAAGCTTTCAGAGATATGGTTCTCCTGTAAGTCCTCAGAAGATGGGTCCTTTGAAGAGGGGTGCTCCTCTGCATCCACGGTGGTATGAGGCTCTTCTGTGACCTCGTCTGCTTCCATCTAGTGGTAGAAAAGGATACAGGCTTCATTGGGTTGGAATTAGAGGGCCTGCAAGTCAGGGCAGAGTCCAGGGTTCGCAGTACATTATGGAATTTGGATAAGGTTCTCAGGGCACCTGAGATATAAGAGGGAAACAACATGAGCTCTGGGTCTTAGAGTGTGATCCAAGAGCTTCACCTATGTGTCCAGACCTCATATGGCATGTTGCTATGGCTTGCTAGGGAGTTGAACTTAAAGATCGAAAGGCTGAAGTAGAATCCCATCAGTAGATGGTAGCAGAGAACCATGTCCCAGGAGGGAGTCTGAACATAGCCACTTGGCCAGTCCAAGAGCAGGGTCCCTGGCATATCTTAAAACCCTGGAGGCCAGGCCATGGAGCTCTAGAGACTGGGAATACCAAGCCAAAGCTGGGGTTGGCTCCTGAGAGTGCAGAGGAATACTATGTGACATAATGTAAGACCCTACAGGTAGCCTGGTTTTGTCTAGGCACCACACACATCCTCCTTCCTTGATAATGTCATTCATGTTCAAAGCTTCAACTACTTCCAGCTATGTGCCAATGACTCCTAAATCCATATTTCTAGCTCAGACCTTTTTCAAGCCCACCCTGTACTTTGCACTCATACCCACCTGCCTGCTGGCCTTTTCTTTCTTTTTTTTTTTTGCAACTGAGTCTCACTCTGTTGCCTGGACTGGAGTGCAGCGGCGCAATCTCAGCTCACTGTGACCTCTGCCTCCCAGGTTCAAGTGATTCTCCTGCCTCAACCTCCTGAGTAGCTGGAATTGCAAGTGTGTGCCACCACGCCCAGCTAATTTTTGTATTTTTAGTAGAGACGGGGTTTCACTATGTTGGTCAAGCTGGTCTCAAACTGCTGAACTCAGGTGATCTGCCCACCTCAGCCTCCCAAAGTGCTGGGATTACCGGCCTAAGCACTCAGCCCCTGCTGGTCATTTCTAACTGGGTGTTTCCACAGGCATCAAAACTGAACTTTGGGAATTATCCTAGTCTTCTCTTTTTCCCTTAGACTCCATCTTCAAATAGGCACCAATGACTGTATTTCCTATCTTCTAAATATTCTCCAAATGCATTCTCTCCTCTCCCTTCCAATCTTATTCAAGTTTGCATCATTAGCCTTTGTGTAATAACTTTTTCCCTCTACTTCCATCCACAGCATTTTCATCCATTCACTCATTCTTTCATTCATTTATGTAACTTACACTTTTACAAAGAGCCTAATATGATGCTTTTCCTAAGCTCTAAATTGAGTTGAGTCTGAGAGAGAGACCGATTAACCAACAATGGCAATACAAATAAAGTGATGTTGTGCTGGGGTGAGCATAGGATGCTGTTGGGAGGGGATATGCCTAATTTATCCTTCAAGGATGTAGTCCTCTTTCCTTACCCAATCAGGATCTTTCTAAAGTGCAAACCCATTACTGGCACTTTGTGGCTTATAAACATGCCATGACTCAGTCTAAAGGATTAAGTCTAAATTTCTTGGCCCTGGTATTCAAGGCCTGTCATCATTTTCAACACAGCCTGAGTATTCCTGCCTTACCTTTCCGTGCTCCCTACTTTCCCCTCATGTTTCAGAGAAACTAGATATATCACTCCTTAAACTCATCAGAGCCTTTTCCAAGGGAAAGTTTGGGAAGGGAAGTAGGGGGAGAGGTAGGATTATGGGGAGGAAAATGACCAGAGTCAGCTAGAGGGAAAAGGGACCTAAGGGTGGAGAACCAGAGGATGGAAGGTGAGGAAGGGGAAAGAGAAGGGAAGGAGGATTGGGTGGAGGAGGAGAATAAGGATGAAAAGTGCAGAATGTGGGCCAGGCATGGTGGCTCACGCCTGTAATCCCAGTGCTTTGGGAGGCCAAGGCGGGTGGATTACTTGAGTTCAGGAGTTCAAGACCAGCCTGGCCAACATGGTGAAACCCAGTCTCCACTAAAAATACAAAAATTAGCTGGGCATGGTGGCAGGCGCCGGTAGTCCCAGCTGCTGGGGAGTCTAAAGCAGGCAAATCACTTGAACCTGGGAGGTGGAGGTTGCAGTTAGCCAAGATGGCACCACTGCACTTCAGCCTGGGTGACAGAGCAAGACTCCATCTCAAACACCACCACCACCACCACCACCAGCACCACCACCACCACTACCACCATGTACAGACTGTGAAGGGACTGAGGGGTGGGAGAGAGACAGAGGTGTTGGGGGAGGAGAGGGAGGGTTGTTGGAGAAATTACCTACCTCTGGGCTTTGGCTAGGTTGTTACAAGTCCTTAGGTTAAGGCCTTGCCTTAGGATGGCAGGGGGAGGTGTTGATCCTCAGGGAGGGAAGGTTGTTGGTTGTGGATGACTCCCAGCTGCAGGCCGCTGTGTGTTGAAATGCCTTGCCGGAAAGTCTGCTATTTGGAGAGGGCACTTGGATATCTGCAGAATTTCACAAAAAAGCTCTGGCCTGACTTGGGGAAGTGGGTAGGGAGGAGGGGTCCAGGGCCGACAAGGGAGGAGCTTGACTGAAGCCTCTAGAACAAGGGCCTGGAGAGTAGGCACCGGTCACCAGGACAACCGGAACGCCTAGTAGTCTCTGTGGCAACGGCGGTCTGGTCCCCTCCCCGGTGGGTGAGGTCTCCTGAGGGGGTTGCATTGGGCCTTGAGGGGACGAACCCAGAGGGTTCACTTTTGAAAAGTGGGGTGTGTTACGGAATCTCAGTGAGCGAGTGTCTGGGTAGGATCTGCGGAGATCTGTGCGTACGTCCGGGGAAGTCTGGGTTTGTCAGAGCAAATAGGGTTCCCTTGAGATGTCTGTGGGGCGGTCGTTGGGGGCTGTGAGGATCTGAGGGGGCCTCGGGCTCTGTGCTGGGGGTGAGAAAGGCAAGGTCTCCTGCTGGGGCGGGGGCGGAGTCTGTGTGTCCTCGAAGCCCAGCAGGACTAAGTTGGGGACCAATAGAGTAGGGCGGGGGCGGGCTTTACTGACAGGGACCAATCGAGCCGGCAGGGGGCGGGGCGTCACGCCGACGTCAAGCCGAGGCCGCCGCCGCGGGGCCTGGTTATCGCCGGTTCAGCGCAGCCCGGAGTCGCCCAGGCCTGAACTCCCAGCCAGGTCCCCGGCCCCCGCCCCGGGCCCGCGAGGACACCGGAGGCCACCCCCCGGGGGTGGGGAGCGGAGCCGCGGGTCAGCTCTGCGAGCGCCCCGCGCTGGCCTGTCCGGCCCCGCCCCCGCCCCGGGCCATGGCCCAGCCCTTGTCCCGGCCCCTCGTCCTATCCCGATCCCCGCCTTGGCCCCCGGCCCCGCCCTCGCCCCGCTTCCCACATCGGCCCCAGCCGCTGCCTGGGTCCCCGTCCAGGACCCCCTTCCAGTCTCTGCCCCTGGCCTGGCCCCCATCCCGGCCTCGGCCCTTGTTCCACCCCCTGTCACAAATCCCAGTCCGGGCCCTGTCCCATCCCCATTCCCAGTGTTTGCTTAAGGCCCTGGCTCAACCCGGGTCCTTGCTGCAGTCCCCGTCACAGCCCCTCCTTCCATCCCACTCCCTGCCCTTGTTCAAGCCCCCGTGTCCAGCCCAGCCCAACCCATTATCTCAGCCTTTTCCCTCATCTCTGTGTTTACCCAAGTCTCTCCCGCTAGTCCCCCCCATCTCTCATACTCTGCCCCTCTCCCAGCCTAGACTCAAGTCTGGGTTTCAGCTGCCGCCAGCCCTATTGCTGCTGTTGCTGTTCTCTGTCCTTGGCCCAGGGGCTGGTGAGTGCAGAAGCAGGAAAGATTGAGACAGGAATGGGGTTCGGGCAGGGAGGGGTGGGCTGGAGAGATTCAGGAGAGGTGGGACCTGGGGAACTAGATCATTGGAGAGCAAGTGGGAGAAATAGGAGAGAGGTCTTACACAACAGCGGGATTGGCAGGGTCAAAAGAGTGGTAATTAATTGGGTTTGAGGCTCAGCAGGTGGCTTATAGTTTTTAGGACAGAGACTCCAAGATTTTTTCTGTGTCTATCCTGATTCCACTTTGACTCTTGCTTTTCCAGGGAAATCTTGCGGGCTTTGCTCCTGCTTACAAAGTTTGATGGGAGAGAGGCCCACATCAGAAGCCTCTAGTGCAGTGTGGGAATATATAGCCTAAACCTTTGAGATATTGTGGATGCATTCAAATAGCATGAAGAAGAGTTTTAAAGATAATATGTAGCAAACAGATGAATATGGATTAGTTGCCATTATGATGAGTTTTCTTCTTGTAATGATTCTTGTTCCAAAGAAGATTGATTTGCCTAGGAATATTTCCTGATACTTTTAGAGCAGGGCTGAAACTCGGAGGCCATTTTACAGATAGGGAAACTGAGGCTCAGGGAGGGAGCAATTTGTCCAAAGTCAGATAGCTTGTGAATGACAGTGCTGGGGCTAGAAAAAAACGTTTCCTAATTCCTATTTCATACTAGTATTTTTTTTCCCCCACTGCAATGTATACCTAATAGAGAAACAGACCCAAGTGGGGAAAGGCTCAAAGCACAACCTCCTGTCTCCCCTGTCTGCCCACAAGGGGGCTTTATCCACAAACTGTTCCTTATTTGCTGGGCGTCAGCCAAGGGCCACCCTCCGGTGGGGAAGTGACTTGGACAGGAGAGGGAGAGGTCCAGTTTTTTAAGGGGTAGAATGTGAGAGGAGGAGGGGGTGTCCTGGTCTAGGGGATGTGCCATGAAGATGGCTCCATCACGAAACAACTGTAGTCTTCATGCCCCAAGTCGGTAGCCACCTCTGGTAGGTGTCACTCTAGATAGATGGAGATGTGCCTGACGGAGTCTTTGGAAATAACAGCCAACAGAGCAGCTGGGGGTGGAGAGTGTGGGTATCAGTGAGTTCTGGGGGCCTGGTTTAGTGTACAAACGTGAAAGGTCACAGCCCCTGCAGAGATATCTGGTCACTTATGTGTTTATGTGTGTAACTGAGGGATCTGTAGGAAGGCTGGCAGCATGTGTACATGCTTGTGTGTTGTTGAGTGTAGACACATGCATGTGTGTGGAGTCATGTGAGCTAGTGTGTCTTCTGAGTGCCTGTGTTATGGTATGAAGGGGAGGGGACATGTGACCCATGTACATTCTTCTTCAGCTCTGCCTGCTCTTCATATGGACAGATCACTGAAGCTGTGAGTGGAGCTGGGGACCTTTTCTCAGCAGTTAATAGTTCCAAGGGTGAGGGCAGTGTTGGGTGCCTCCCATAATGAATATATGTTATCCATCCACCCCCAGCCAGTCCCCTTGAAGGAAGGAGCCGTGGAGGCACTCAGTGTTGATTACTATTGCTGGCAAGTTGGGTACTTGGCAGAGGCAGTAACCAGTCAGGTTTTCAGTTTTGGTGAGGGGGAGTTTGTGCTATTGAGCCAAGTTCCTAGCTTCCATCCCCTGCCATTATGGCTTCTTCATGAGCCCATTGAGCAAGCATTGGGCTGGCAAGGGGAGCAGGGTGACCAATGGCCACAGAACATATACAGCTGAAATTTGTGGATGAAAACACTATTGCCCAGAAGCAGGTTCATGTGCTTTGGGGAGAATTATAATGAAGTTGGAAAAGAGTGCCAGTACGCCCAAATGGAGGCAGGGCTGCATTATTCCTATTAATAATGCCTTGGCAACTTTGGACCAAAGTACAGGGTGCTCTGTGACCTAATGGTGGTGATGGATTTTGCCTGAGGAGAGGCTGGCAGTGTTATAGGACCATCATAGCACAGGGCTGCATATTGCTTATCGTTTGCTTCAATTTTGTTTCAGGAATGGGAGTTATCTCTTGGGTCTAGTGGTCCCACTCCTGATCCTTGGATCTTTTCCTTGGGCTGAGTCGAGGACCCACACATGCTTGCTATTCAAAAAAATGAGCTTTTATTCTACCTAATGCTATCACTAGGAGGGCCAACCTCAGCCTATGTGTGTGTATGTGGTGTGTATGTGTGGTGTGGGTGATGGTGGGAATTATCTTAGCTTTATCATAGAAATACTGGGGAACCTGAAACAGGTTCATCTGAACTTGGTACGGGCCTTACATATGCTCCCTCTGGACACAGCTCTGGTAGGCCCTGTTCAAACTGCAAACCAAAGTTTGGAGTGAATGGGGCTGTGGACCCTTTCTCAAGCATCTGCCCTCAGAACTTCTTCCAGGTTCCTCCCAGCATTCCCAGCTGCTGCTCATTCCTTTATCCCGCCAGCCTATTCTTTGACCTCTGTAGCCCCTGGCCACTGTGGGGATGGCTTAGCTAGTTCCCCAGTTCTCCAGACCATATTGTGGTCCTTTGAATCACAAAGATCTTTGTGCTTGTCTATCCATGTTTCCCAAAGGTCATTAAGCTGCTTTTCACCACTAGCTCTCTGATGGTCTGCACCGAGGGACTGACCAACATCTCTCCTAACAGTAGCAATGGCTGATCAGATGACCCATCCCTGGTACCAGCTTTGAGGAGGAGCAGCCCTTCCCTAATTCCAGCAGAAGGCGCACTACAGTTCCGATTTCTTCTAACAATAGTATCCAGGCTGTTCACCTCTTAGCTTTCTGCCTCCTACTTAGCACAGCCAGGATTCCTAGGAAACCTGTCTCCCCCATCAGTTGATTCCATTTCCCTTTGTCCCTCTCAGATGCATCTCTGTCACTCTCTGAATGCTCACTGGTAGCCTCTCTGGCTTCCTGGGCAGTGCTCAGCTTGTGAGGTGGCAAGTTTTCCCTCCTGAAGGTTGAAACTGAGAGTGGTATGAACTGGACAGACTAGTCCACGGCCTCCAATGGCCCCCAGCTATGGAGGGCAGTTTTGTGGGGTGACTCCTGGAGTTCCTCCGGTTCAGTGTTCCTCCTTCAGCAACCTCCCCTTCCCTTTCTTATTTCAAAAACACCTCATTTTTGGAGTTATCTCTCCCTTCTCCAGAGAGGTAGATTGGACTAGGGAAGCTCTGAGAATATTTACTGCTTGGCTGAAAATGCCCCTCCAGAGTCGTCCTTAACGCATCCCCCGTCTGTCCTGAAGCTGCTGAGTTCCCCACCTTCTCACCTGTCCTGGAGGTATCCTCTTGAGCTTCTCAGGCTGGTCTGAAGTCTCCAGAGCAGTTAGATTCCCCAGAGGTTTACTTTGAGAGACCTTGCCTGCCATTGGGACCCTCTTCCCCTGTCTGCTACTGGGTTACCTCTACTGTGACAGCCGTTCTACTCCCTTGCCTGGCTGGCTGCTGACACGACTTCTGCTCACCTTGGCTCTGCTCCTGATAATCATAATCAGGCATCTCAACATTTTAAGGCAGGATGACCACTTTCCACATCCCAACCAGGTGTGCTCTGAATATTCCCAAGTGGCTTGAAATCCACTGGATCACCAACTCACTGCCTCACTGGGCCTCCCTCTGGGGGAACCTTCCCCTGGCCGCCACCCACTGGCTGCACATTCTGACCTGGGAAGCCTGACAATTCTCCTTTCCTGGGAACTCTCATGGTGGCCTGCCAGCTCCTGTCCTTGCTTC